AACATGTCCATGAACAACAACAACAAAGCCTTTCACTCCCAAACAAATTGGGGCAGGCTAGAATTGAAACCCACAAGATCACAAAATCAAATCATGGTTCTGGCACGTGGATAGCTAACTTCCATGCACCCGTCCATGGCTAGTTCTTTGGTGGGGTACAAGATGTAGATTTAATTCTTCATATGCATGAAGTACAAGGTGAAGATTTAATTCTCATAGTTCATCGTATTGGAAAAACAAATTACAGCTACAACACATTCAACGACTGTGTGGTTATACTACATAAAACTAATGTGAAATATATCCGGCATATTTGTATTTTAAGTATCACGTAATGCAGTTTAGAGTAGCTACAAATGGACTTCGTGAAGGTATTGACATAACCTTGAAGCAAAAAAAGTCATAAAGTAAATCATAAAAATAAGAAAAAACAAATGTCAATTCATTTTTTTAGAAGAAAAAAGAAGAAAACTATGGAAGAGTTTAGAACAAAGAGAAATGCAGTTTTGTGCATATCATGCATTGTGCTTAAGCTCAACCAGGGAATCTTAGCAGAATCAGGTGTAGTGAAGACGATATCCAAAAGCCAACAGTGCTTGGATTTGCTAACTGGCTTCATCCAACAGTCAATATTTAAAGTTACTAAGAGATTACTGAGAAAAGGAGCCAGGTTCTTGCCAGTTATTTATACAGAAAAAAAGGCTTCTTGTAAACTACTATAAGCGCAGAGTTCACGCTGTACAGCTGCAGCCTTACTGCCCGAACCGTAGCCACCACGTCCCATTTCTTCCTCTCCAGTCACAGTCGCTGGCTGTAATCACCATCACAGGGTGTCGCTAGAATTACTCATCCAGTGGTGGTGAGTTCCTCCCCACCTCCATCTCGCCGTAGTCCAGAACACCATGGCCAGAGTTGCCCATCACGTCCTCCAGCCCCTCCTACCATCTTCTTCCTCAAATTTCCTATTCCCCAGACCCGGATGATTAGCTCCCCTTCTGCCTCTTCCTCGCGTTGCTTCTTCTCCAGATCGACGGAGGGAGAGCATTCACTCCGTAATACCAGGGAACGAATGTTTGTTCCTTCGATTTCCCAGTCATGTAGTCATATTGTTTATATAACTAAAATTCTGCATCTAGTCAACTCCCAAGAAACTCAACTCTACCACAATAAACAATGTGGGAGAGAATTCACTGCCTAAGACCAGGGAACAAATGTTCGTTCCTTGGATAGAGTCATGTTTGGTACAACTAAAATTCAGCATAAGTAAGCTACCAAGAAACTGTCGAAGAATGTGACACGCCAATTCAGATGACACAACCAGATTAAACTACTAGGTGATTCAAGGGGCAAAGAGTCACTTCTTTCTAGTTCTATTATTCTACTTGCTTGGGTAGCGGAACTTCCTCAGCTCTCGCCGGTTCATGACCCAAAACCTTGTATAGGACCACAACGAAAGCAACAATCACAGAAGAGGACGAGCCTAAGCAGATAACGCCTGGTGGACACGAACGTCGCGGCCACACAAACGTGGAAAAAAAATTGAGGCTCGAGGCACTAACCACCACGACGTGCTTCCCGGCGACGTCGACCTTGAGGTCAGCGGTGACCCGGGGCCGGCCGCTGGACTCGGTGCCGTCGCCATACGACTCGACGCGCACGAGGTCGACGGTGAGCGGCGCGTCGACGCGCCGCACAAGGTCAGCGAGGAAGAGGAAAGCCCCCGTGGCGACGCCCACGACGACGGCCGGCTCCGCGAGCCGGCTGATGTCGGCGGCGAGCTCCGAGGCGACCTCGGCGACCCGCGTGGCGATCTCGGCCTCCGTCCACAGCACGCGGTCGATGCCGGCGTTGGCGGCATCGCTCACCATGGCGGCCGCGGTGATGACCAGGAGCGTTAGGGTTAGGATTTGCAGGTGGTGGGTCGGGTGGAGCTTTGTGCGGGCAGTTGGCGATTTGGCGAGGGTTGGGCTCGGGCGGCGGCGTGGTGTTTCTGGGTGCGTTTACGTGGAAGGAAGAGTGCCGGCTATATCTGGCCATGGGCCGGGCCTAAAAAAGCCCACGACAGAAAACTGAGCAGGGCCTCTTCAGCGCATATGGGCCGGGCCTACTATCAGGCCTACTTTTCAAGCCCAAGCCGGTCCATCGGGTAAAAAGCCCTCAAAAGCCCTTAGGGCTTAGGGGCCGTGGGCCGGGCCTCTTCGTTAAAATGCCAATATGCCAAGCCCAAGCCCGTCCAGGCCCTGCTGGTGGGCTCAAAACTTAGGCCCAAGCCCGGTCCACGAGCAAGCCAATCGGGCCTAGGCCCTGGATTTTAGGGCCGGGCCTGGATGGGCCGACAGGGCCGGGCCTGAGATGGCCAGGACTAGTGCCGGCATACCGCAATCACAGGCTCAGTGACGAGCACGATTGACCATCTTTGTGGGGACATTTCTTTATTTCTTTTTTTTTGAGAAAGTGTTCATTCAAATCACGAATCAGTACAGAGTAGGTGACCCTTACAAGCACACTGAAACGCAAAAACAAAGGACCATAAACACTTAGAGTACCCTAAGACAACCATAGCACAAGAAGATCTCCGGAGTCCTGTGTCATCATCCCTGAATCTTGAGAGAAGACCCCTGTAGCAGAAGGATCTGCAACAAGTCGCAAACAGGTCATCATCTTCGACCACGGTACAATTGCCGCCACGCTGCTTCCTCCTTTCTTGACACCAGTGCTGAGAGGGCATGGACATCAATCCAACACACCTGCAACAGCCGTCGCCATCTTTGGCTTTGAGTACCGCGAAAAGTGTCCCTTCCGGAAGGAAGAGAACTCGAGTCATCTGACCGGTCCAGCACCGCGGCCGGGCCATCCGCTCGGGCAAAGCAGGATCTCCCACCAGCATCAGCGCAGAGGAAGGAGAAGAACAACAACAGCAAATCGTACCAACAAGGAAGAAGAAAGGTCTTCGTCTCCCTACCTCCATCGCCCATCTGAGGATCCAAACGGCCAGTGCCGATGGACCTCCAACCATCATAGCCCGCGACCTCGACGAGATCCGGGGATCCCCAACACCGCTGGCTCCTAGACGAAGGCAAAAGCCTCGCCTGACCGTGAACGGAGCCCGGAGAAACTTATTCCGACGCGACACCACCGCAACGGCCTCGGCAGCGTCTCCCTCAACCCTAACCCTACCACACACCTACCTAGTGAACAGATCCGAGGTTCCCCCTACTTCGTCTTCTCCGACGCTGGATTCATCTGGCCGTCGTCGGATTCACCAACACCCAAATGGATTCTTCTTGGCATGCAATTTTCTGTTTCATAGTTGCACGCAGAGGTTATTCAAGTTGCACAACTGGACACATAAGTCGCGCACTATGACCGAGCTAGGTGCAATGAAAGGACCTAGCATTACACACAATGGGTTTATTCAAGTTTCACATATGAACACGCACGTTTGCATACAATTTTATGTAGTCTAACAATTTCTTCATCAAAAAATTTAGGGGCCTTGCCGTCATGATGCAACAAACAAATAATATTCCCTCTGTTTCTAAATATAAGTTTTTTTAAAGATTTTAAATGGACTACCACATACGGATGTATATAGACATATTTTAGAGCGTAGATTCACTCATTTTGCTTCGTATGTAGTCATTTATTGAAATCTCTAGAAAAACCTATATTTAGGAATGGAAAAAGTCAATTTTAAACCCTGAACTTGTAGATGTTCGACGAAACGAACCCCCAAGTCGTAATCCCTGTCGATTGTATCCTGAACTATGCAATTCCGGTCTAAATCAAACCTTCGAGTCGTTTGAATGGCCGGGATTGCCGGGATTTCGCTGAGGGCACACACCTCCACCCTGCTGGGCCGGCCCGGTTTTATTTTTTTCCGTTAAGAAATAAAAATTCACAAAGGGCGCTACACCTTGCTTCTGCTGGGCCAGCCCGCTTTTGTTTTTTTTGTTAAAAAGAAGCGCACGGTGTGCCTTGAACACGTGACCCTGTGCTGTTTTTTCGGTTTACAAATATTTGTTCTAAATTAAAACATACAACTGACTTCAAAAAAATATATTTTCTTACAAAGAAGTTCAATGAAATTTAAATATTGTTCAATGGATATCACAAAAGTGTTCAACATGTATTAAATACTATTATTCAGCGTATATCACGAAAATGTTCAATTTTTTTTTAAAATTTCAACGTATGTACAAAATGTTCAAAGTATATTTTTAAAGAATTGAACGTATTTAAAAAATCACATTTGTTTCCAAGAATTGTTGTAAACTTTGAAGAAAAAAGAAATCTGTCGCGATACATTGTACTTTAAATTGGCGCTGCAATATAGACATACTGAGTAGGTAGCTAGTGTGGTTGCCGTCGCTGCTATTTATTCAATTTTTCCAATTTTGTTCACAATTTTAAATTTTTAAGTGTACAACAAAAAATGTTCAACGGGTATTTAAATGGTTTTTCAGCGCATATCACAAAATTGTTCAATGTGTAGTTAAAAATTGTTCAGATTATATTACAAAAATGTTCAATGTATAAAATTTATTCATCGTGTATCACAAAAATGTATAATATGTTTTAAATTATTTCAATGGATATCACAAAAATGTATGCTGTGTAGTTAAAAATTGTTCATCGTACACTTAAAAAATGTTCAATGTATATTGGAAAATTGTTCGTCGTATATAAATTTGTGTTCATGTTTTCAATAATTGTTCACGTTTTAACAGTTTGTTTGAGTTTTAAATTTCTTCAAGAAAACATTGTTCATTTTTTTGAACGAAGATTAAAAAAACGGATCTGCCGCTGGCCATACTACTTGAAACTTACGCTGTACTCTAGTACCAATCCCAATCGCTAGCTGCAGTGGCTGGCGTCGCGGCTATCCAGCGAAACGCCGCGGTTTCGAACACAACCAGCGGCACAACTTTTTAGTTCGTTACATTTTTTTTTTCGTACGTTCACTCGTTTCCTGGCAATGGGCCGGCCCGTTTGCGCAATTCTGCCGTAAAAGAGCGACAGAAAAATAAAGATAATTTTCTTTGAGCAAACAAAAAAAATGGGCTGGCCCAGCATGGAGGACGGGTGCCCCTTGGCCCGCTAGCTAGACAAATGCCAGTTGACATTTGTCAAGGTTGTCTCAAAAAAATGACATTTGTCAAGGTTTGATTCATTCCGGGATTGCATAGTTCAGGATGCGATCGACCGGGATTTCGACTTGGGGGTTCGTTTCGCCGAATGTCTACGAGTTCAGGGTTTAAACTAGACTTTTTTCTTTAGGAACGGAGGGAGTAACATGCACGGCACTATTGCTTTCTTTTTCATGTTTCTGATACGTGATGGTGGACGAGCTTTTAACAAGCACGCGCACACTCTTTTCTGCAACTATGAAGACGACGCAACTTCTGGAGAGTTGACTGATAGCAAAACTAAAACACCATTATGTCTTTTAGCCATGTGTTTCTTTTTTGAACAGGATGTAGGATATATATTCTCTACTACATGCAAGAAATCAAATATATAGTTTTTTTTGAACAGGACATAGGATATATATTCTCTATTATGTCACATCTAACATGATATCCACTATGTTTGTGGTCTATTTTTTTCTGTCCTAGTTTTTTTTGTTCCTTGTTGATGCGTTATTTGTGGGAGTTTACATGTGATATCTTTAGAAAACATCTAGATGTGAATTAGACAAACTGTATGCTTTTCATGTATAGCAGTTATTGCACACTGCGCAACAAAAGTTGGCTGGATCACGTGGAGGAGGTGCACGCAAAACCAACACAAAAGTTGCACACACCTCCGCAATGCCATGTGTTTTCGTTTTTGCGTGTGTATCTTGGACATGAGGGAAGCACAAAGATAAGATGGATGGATCAAATTTTTGAGGAGGCGCGGTCAAGGTGAAGAAAACAATGAAGGTAAAATTTGCAATCAAGGTAAAGAAGAAGAGGAATCAGACCTATCTCTTCTTCCTCGACATCCTGGTATGTCTTTTCACATTTGCTTCCCCCACATAATCGCTAGATCTGTACATACTTCACCCGAATAGAGTAGCCATTGCAGGATGGTGGAAAGCATTAGGGCATGTACAATGGTTCTATCTTAACAATGCCACGTAGGATAAATGATGAGGTGGAGAAAAGATAAATCATAAGAAACGGCTTGTCTTCTCTTATTTAAGAGAAGACAAGAGATGATCTCTTAGCATAATATGTCTCGCCGCGTTTTTAGGAATAACTAGTTATTTTAGATAAGACTAAAATATGACCCATTGTAGACATGCTTTTTTGTCATCTCTAAATTACATGCAAGACTTAAGATAAGACTATCTTATCAACCATTATACATGCCCTTATGTTCTTTCATGGGGATTAAGAATGGAAGCGTGGGGCAAATGAGAAGAGAGGACGGGGCACGTGATTATAGACAAGAAAAAAGAGGGTGCAGGCCGATGTGTGCCTCGCCAGGGTCATGGGAACCAGGTGTGTTGGTTCGTTGGGGGGAGGGGCGGGGATGGTGGTTTCCTAATCAAGAGGACGAGGCACATGACCTTAAGCGGTCAATGTATCCTAATGGCATGTACAATTGTTTATAAGAGAAATTTATCTTAAGGCCACAAGTAATATAGAGAAACCACTAGAAAAAGGGTGTACAATGGGTCATTTCTTAGCCTTATCTCTAGTCTAGTGACTAGATATTCATAATATGTGGTGAGATCTATAATAGATCATCTGTTAATTAAGAAAATCAAGTCTTTTCTTCTAATTTATCTCTTCATTTCAACATTTATCCTATATAGCACCCTTGAGATAGCATCATTTTAACACACTATTTTTTTCAGTTGTGATCAGACCTGGCC